CGAAAAACAAAGAAACCAAGAGCCACTCTCTTCCGCTTTTTCTCCAGCCCACGTGCCACCTGGTCTGATCCTGCCACTGGGTGTGAGTCGGCCCGATGGCCACTTCCATCGGCTTCATAAACTTCTATGTCTTGAGTGTGATTTGTGGTTTGACTTCGCGGTCAGTGTGCATGACATGGTGAAAATGCCCTGAAGGGCAGGGACAGATGTTCATGAGAGAGAAAGAGAGAGAGAAGCTAAATTTATCGATTTATCAGCGATGTATTAGGGAAGGTCCTTATCCCGCGATAGTCGTGGGTGTCCCAGAAAGAATGCTTGGATTATGTCCTTGGCATGTCCAGTGACTTGACACCTGGGACCTTCTTTCACCGACACCTTCAATGAGGCAGCTGGAGTTTCTGGGATCAAACCCACCTAATGCTAAAGCTCAGCCCCGGCCCTGTGGTGACTCGGCGAGGGGGATGCTTCTCTGAAGTGTCAGTTCACATGCCCACCCACCTGCACATTCACCCAGAACGTCCGCTCAGTGGGCTCCATTTCACACCTGAAAAGAAACTCCCAGTCCCCCCGCCCCACTGCCGCTGGAAACTCGGGTGGGGTGGACAACTGAATTGAAGGTTTTAAAAAGAAGACTCAGCTCTTGGGAGCATCTCAGAGGCTCCAGTCACTATAAAATCTTATGAATTATGTCTTTATCCGCCATAACTCCTCTGCCCTTCTGCTTCCTCATGACTTCACTGCCAAGCCATCTGTCAATTTGAATGATTAGGACCGAGCTATCAGAATGGTCGAAAAGAGAGGGAAATTAAGCAGCCTTTTAAAAAATATTTTTCTATAACATCCTCTGTCTCTCACCCTCATGAATTATTGACAGGAAGATTCTCCAAAAATGAAGACGACAGAGAATCGGTTCTAACATCTCATCTCAGCCCCTGGATACAGGTGTTCCTGACTACTTTTTTAAATTTTATTTTACTGATTCTAGTCGGCCTATAAGGACCAGGGCCAAAGATTGTCCCTACCTTTTGATCGGGAGGTACCCCCCTGGCCCTGAAGGTCATTCTGTTTCTTTGATGGGTTTCATTATGTTCCCCCAAGTTATAGCCTCTCAGGTCACCCTGGACAGATCACCCCGTCATTGTCCGGCCATAGGACACAGGCCCAGCCCCTCCCTGCCCCGCAAAATATAGACACTTGCATGTACTCACAAGCATGAGCACACGTGCGTGAATGTACACGCGGACATGGGAGGTCAGCTGTCCCACTGAGAAGCTGGCTCTGATCTCTCCACCAGGACCCACCCCGTCAAGGGGACCAGAGACATGTCTGAACAGGGTGGACGGCCCAGGGCAAACTCCCTTTGAAGCTGCAGCACTGCGTCTCCGAACACCCAGCTGTCTCAGAGTGCCTGTCACTCCGCTGTGAAATATCGGCCGTGGCCAGTGGTAGCGGTGGCAATAAAATCCCCAGACCCCTTTGATTTCCAGTCGGTATTGATCTTCATGCACTTTACCTCCCTCCGAAGCCATGGTGTCCACTGTGACCTGCCCACCGGGCTCGCCAGTGTCCCCACCAGCCACCCCTGTCCCCTGACACTTCAATTAGATGCGGGGCTGATTGATGTTCCCTGGGCCAACGCTCAGGCCACGTCCCGCAGGGTCCCACCTGCCCTTGGTGGACATCCTCTCTGTTCTCCCTAATTGCAGGGGAGGGACCCCCTTTGAAAATGGGCTCCAGGGACCCAACCCCCCCCACCCCGCTCAACGCTCTGCTCGAATAATCAACATGAAAGCGCAGACATCGGCCACCATTCCAGCTGTTGCTGTGAGATTATTGTCTATGGGGGGCGGAGCTACGTCCCCAGGGAGAATTTGAACTGTGGGTGGCCTCTCGTTTCTTGGTCCACATGCAGACTGTTTCTGATGCTGATCTTTTTTGTTTGGGTCCAGTTTTACCCACCGATCATGGGCGCCCCCCTGCTTGTGCTTAGGATGTCGGTGTCAGTGTCGAAGCTGACCCGGGGTGAGAAGTGCAGCCCATCAGCCCGAGTGGGAGGGGGCAGGCCCACACCCCAGCGGGAGAGGAGGCTTCAAAGGGAGGAATCAGTGGAAAGGACGATGAAATCAGAGGCTTTCCCACTAGGTGCCTGTGGACACACTGGGTGCGTCAGGAAGTGGCGCCCACTTCCATTGGAGGATGTGTGGAAAGAGCCCCCCTTGGGCAGAGTGCCGAGGAGCCAGGGGTCCTCCTTTTGGACTGACACCGCCCCATCCCCAAAGCACGAGGCCAGACAAACTAGGTGGTGGCTGGATGCCAGCCCCTAAGGATGCAGCCCGCCCCATCCAGCCTGCCACGGGGCCTTCTTCCGAAAAGAAGCTGCCCTGCCCCAGAGCCTGGCACACCCCTCTCAGGACAGAGGCTCCCGGAGCCACCTGGGCAACTCCTCCCTCTGAGTGTGGAGCAGTGCCCGCTGCTGGTGGGCTGTTTCTGATTTCATGATCGTGGCTGGATCTAAGTTGAAAACACAAGTTTCCTAACAAAACTGCACACAGTAGGAGTTCAGACAATGTGCACACTATCCCCTGATTGTCCGTGTGTACCCTTTTCACTCAGAAACACATTGGGAGGCCACTCCTGTCAATTCACAGATAGGAGGAAGTTGTTAAAGCGCTAGAGTGGTTGAGTGGTGGTCCCCCACAAAGATATGCTCAAGAGAGAACCCCCGAAACCTGTGAGCCTGGCCTTGGAAGGAGGGTCTTCGCCAATGTCATTAGATGAAGAGCCTCAAGATAAGATGGTCCTGGATTTGGGGTGGGCCCTAAATCCAATGACTCCTTTCCTTAGAAAGACCGAGAGAGGTTTGACCCACAGAAACACAGCAGACAGGCCACGGGAAATGGAAGCAGAAGTTGGAGTGAGGTAGCCACAAGCCAGGGAAACCTGGAGTCACCAGAGACTGAAGGAGGCAGGGAGGGGCTTCACCTAAGTCTTTGGAGGGAGAACTGTAAGGGAATAGATTTTGTTGTTCTAACCCACCAAGTTTCCGGCGATTTCTTCAGCCCCTCTGGGAAATTAGCACAGTGGTACCCAAAGAAGAAGAGTGGGTTCAGCAGCCTCCCATGTCCTGCACCCACACCAGCGCACACCAGCCCGCCTAGACTCACTCGACCCTGCCGCGACCCTCCGTTCTCACCCCTGAGCCTTTCCTCACCATTCCCCAGTCCAGAGAGCCTGAGTTCTAGTCTCCCTGCATCTGAATTTCCAGGAAAAGCCCCATTTCTCCAAAAAAAATGCCCCCTTTGGGTTCCTCCCTTAACACTGACCTTGTCCTTTGCTAGACAACAGAGACCCTAATAACCACGCCATTCGGTGCTTGGCAGACACCCATTTGTATACTCATTATGTTCAGTAGGTGGCAACAGCCAACACCCATCTGCTTTAGGGTCTGCAAAGCACTCGCCACACACAGGAGCTCACTTGACTTTGACATTGAGCCACTGGGTAAGTGAGACTTACATGGAAGTGTAGCCATACAGACAGGCAATTCCAAGGAGGAAGCTAACCAACCCACCAATGTCATTTCATCGAGATTCGAGTCAAGGGTGTCTGTCTTCACCCTGTACATTTACCTAGAGTGCAGCTTTTCTGCCTGTCCCCCTCGGCACACAGCTTGGGCCTCAGGAGTATAAATATGGAGACTGAGGCAAATCTCCAGGGGCGGCTTGATTCAACCCTTTTGAGGTGCTTGGGAGAGAGCTGCTGGAAAAACTCTGATTGTGGGGACAACTGGTGGGTTCTGCTGGGTTGTACTGGAGGGGTGGGTATCACCAAGCCACCCCCGCGGGCAATTCCATGGTCTTTATCTACATGAGAAGGAGGAAAGGAGTGGAGGGATGAGGAACACAGAACATGGAGAAAGAGCAGGATTGGGTTTCCCGACCATATTTCTGCCTTCTCCCCCCAACCCCCCCATCCCAGCCTCTCCTACGCCATCTGAACCCTCCCCACTCCACAAACCCAACGCATTTCATTCCACATGTGGCCATCCAGGTGAGCAAACACCTACCTGGGTTTCAATTCTCACAGAGAAACTAATCTTTGTCCTTACCTTTCTGGTAGAAAGGGCTTTGGGGATTGGGGGTTGGCAGTGGAGGGGGGAGCCTGGGAAAGTGCTGTCTGCCTGTAGGGGGTGCTGGAGCTACACAAAGTTGGAGGAGGATGGGTCCCCAGGGAGCAAAACCTCCGCCATGATACAGAGCCCCCGGTCAGCCCTTGAGCCAAACAGACAACGGTCAGCCACAAAAGGATGATGACTCAGTCAGAGCTGGCCAGAGGGGTCCCTGCAGACGCTGCACAGAGGGTCTCCATGTTCCCCCCCTCAACACCCTGCAAGCAAGGCTGAGACCTGGCTCATTACCGCTGGGGAGAGGGGAGAAAGGGAGGAGCAACTGAGGTCCAGGGAAGTTAAGCAGTTTGTGCCGGTTGCCCAATGAGTGCAACTTAAAATAGCCTGTGTTCCAGGAAGCAGTCTCCATTAGTCCATCCTTTATTTATTTCCGAGCATGAAGAGGGGACTCTTACCACTTCGCATGGAAGCAATGTTCCCTGCAGCTCACACACATAATGACTACTTACATTTCTATTTCATGCGGACGCTCCAGCCCATCCGCTGCCCTATTTCAACCTCACGCTGGTTCCGAGGAAAGAATCAAGTGACCTTTTTTAAAGGGGGGGGTGGGTGGAGACGCGAGTTCTGACTCACGCTGCCCAGGTCCTGCCGGGAACCCGTACCCAGGACGTGTGGCTGGTGCTTGAGGACGTCCACCCACTTCCCCCGATTGGGTGCTCAGTGACTCTCACTGGGTATCCTCGCCCAGGACGCTGGGCCCTAATGTGGTGTCATGCCGACTGTCTCACAGATGTCTTCTGCTCGACCTGCAGCCCAGCAGCTTGGGGCCTTTTCATGTCCCATAAGGAATCACATCCAGGGAGAGCATTACCTGCCATTTCTGAAGCAGCCTGCCCGGGGGTCCTGCGAGGGTCCGGCCCCTCGAGTGGGGGAGGGTGGCCATCTTTTCTCAGCACCCAGAGTGGCTTGCGTAGTCTCCTTGCTCTGAGCTGTACTCGGCCCTGCAAGAAGCTCCCTCTGTACCTGTGGGACAGAGAAACACATGTGCAGTGACCAACCTTGGGAGCGGGTGTCCAGAAGCTCGTACACAGAAAATCCCCAAACAGCGATGCTCCGACACCCACACCCCTGGGCCGCCTGGGAGAACACAGAGGCTTGATCTCTGGGCAGCTTCATTCCTCTTCTCCTCATTTTCCCCCCGTGACATGGGGACAATCATAGGACCTCGGTCATGAGGTTGTTGCAGGGACTAGGTGAGATGGCGTTTATAAACCACTTCCCGAGCTGCATGGCACATGCCTGTGCTGGAACTAAACGCTGGACCACGTGGTCTTGTCTATGAAATAAACAGACTCCCACAGGAACCCCTGCAATGGCAGAAATGTTCTGCAACCCGCATTGACCTGGGTGGGACGCTAACCACTGAATAATCGAGCACTGGAACTATAGTTCGTGTGTCTGAGGAACTGAGTTTCACATTTTATCTCAAGTCAGAGTTGAAATAGCCACACATGGCTTGTGGCTCACCGTGTAGGACAGCACAGGTCGAAGGGGTCTACTTTGAAAAAATGGGTCCAGACTTCCCATCTAGAGAAACCTCTCCAGACCCCTGGGCTCATCCTCCAAAATGGAGGGTTCACATCTCAGCGTGAGGGTACGGGAACTGTAGGAAAAGAAGATTCTAGAGCTTCTATTTGTAATTATTATCATCTAGACATCCTTATGTCTGTTGCTGTGTGCTCTTTACAGTGTGCGTAATACATTGGTGGAATAAACATGTGTGGCGTGTGTAAATGAACAATTATGCACTTACTAGTGAGTGCAGGCTCAAAACTTGTTCTTAACAGACTCGTGCAACTAGCAGACTAGCAGGCTAGTCTAGCGCCCCCATGCTGCTGGTGAAAGAATCGAGATGCCAAGCCAACTCCAGTGAGACTTGCAGGCCAGGTGGCCAGAGGGGAGCTAGACTCTCCATCAAAGGCTCTGAACCAATTAGCAGAGGTTGCCATCAGTGGCCAGCTCATAGAAAGGGCCTTTGCCCCAGCTCTAGCCACCCAGTCAGGCCACAAGGGCTTGTTTCCACTATAAACCTCAGTTCACGAGAACTTGATCCCCACAACACTCTCCAGGACCACCTGGCTGGGGAGTGTGGCGAGGTGCCCTGCTTGGCTGTGTTCCTCTCTCATTTGTCCGAGCCTCTGCCAACATCTAGCCGCAGTCCCGTGATCGCCAGGGTGCTGGCAGAATTTTAAATCAGCTCTGCAGGACTAACGCAGTGTCCCCTCAGCGCCGATCTGGACGGCAGCATCAGTGGGAAAGTGACTTTCTGTTCATTTTCTCTGGCTCCGGGCTCGGGAGAGGTTCCACTCACAGGGCACGGCTGCTGCCTTGGCCCTGGGCCGGAGCTGCCGTTCCCCAGGGGTGCCTGCCTTGCTCTCTGAAGCAGTCCATCCCTGCACATCCAGGTTACAGGTTCCTGAAACCGCGCCTGAGCCAGGGTAGGAAGCCACAGGGCTGTGGTTTGATCCTCACAAAGCTGTGAACCAGTCGGGCCAAGAACGACCTCCACGTGCAGAGACAAATGAAGGAAGGAGGGAATTCCCGGTGCCGCGGTCACCTCTGCCCCCATGTCAGTGGGTGACTGCCACACGTCAGCAGGTGTTAAGAATGGCACAGCATGAACTGCAGGGAGGTTTCGCTTTTGGGAAATGGAGAAGCAAGGCATTCCACTCAATGAAAGCAGCTAGGAGCCCAATGGGAGAGGCCCAGGCCCTGAATTCATTGGGGTAGAATCTGGCCCCTTTGCTCTTCCTGGGAACCCAAGCAGGTCCTGGCATTGCCTTCGAAGCAGTACTTTTCTCAGCCAAGGGGAGAGTCTGTTGCATTCCCTCCTGGGTTCTCCCCATTCTCGTGCGGCGCCCCCGGGAACAGTGTGCCCACCAGGAATGAGCAGCCAGGGTGAGGCAGGGCCCGCATGCTGACTGTCACCGGTCACCAGTCACCTGAGAAGCCACAGTGCCTCTCACCTCCACCAGGCCTGCACACCCACACCTGGCCGCTGGAGAGCTGGCTACCGGTGACTCCTACCAGCTCCCTTCTCCAGGGAGTTGCCCTTGGCACATGGGAACTCGGGCCCTTTGCCTCTGAGCAGGACAGTCTCCCAATGGGATCGGGCGGCATTGGACACTAGCGCCATATCTTTTGGTTCTTCCTTTGCCTCGTTCCCCTCACCCCCTTAGCAGCCGCTCCCTCTGTATACATCACTCATACAGCGATCCCCATCCCAGTCCCTGCTTCTGGGGAGCCTGACTTCAGACAGGATTGGAGTGTCCCCTCTTCTTCCCTCTGACCTTCGTTCACCCGCGCTCCCCAGAGACACTCCCTGCCGTGTGCGGACAAGCGCCCTCCACACACAGGCGTCCGTCTCAACACGCCGTCGCTCTCACACATCACGTTGTACCACAGAGATGTTCCTTCTCTCGCTTTATTTTTACTCGAGGCTGTGTTTATAAGATCCACGTAGATTACTGTGACTGTGTTGCGGTTTACTCTAAAGACAAAAACCAAAAAGCAAGCTGCCATGTTGGGTCCAGGTTTTAAATACTGGGTCGACCAAACCGTTCCTATGGCTTTTTTTTTCCAGGAGACAGCACTTGGTTGTCTTTAATTTCACTCGAAACAATTTTGTTAGATTGTATTGTGGCAGCTGTCATATCAGTGTGCATATTTTAAAAACATCAATATTGGTGAATTTTGGTGTGGCCATTTTAATATGGAAGATGAAAGAAAATGTGCAACATTTTTTGGCATATTAGGCTTTATTTCAAGAAAGGTAAAAATGCACCTGAAACGTAAAAAAAGATGTGTGCAGTGTATGGAGAAGGTGCTGGGACTGATGGAACGTGTCAAAACTGGTTTGTGAAGTTTCATGCTGGAGATTTCTCACTGGGCGACACCCCATGGTTGGGTAGCTCAGTTGAAGTTGACAGTGATCAAATCGAGACATTAACTGAGAACAATCAACATTATCCCACGTAGGAGAGAGCCAACATACTCAAAATATCCAAATATCAATGAAGTCATCGGTGAAAATGAAAAATGTGTCTTTTATTTTGCTGAAGAAATCATACGAACTTTTTGGCCAACCCAGTACAATTTCTACACTTGGAACACCCACCATGATCTTGGTCTGTCTCAATGGGTCTTCCCTGAAGAGCCTACATTATGGACAAAGATGCAACACCAGCATAATCTCTTTTTTTAGGTATATTTTACTGATTATGCTATTACAGTGATCCCTTTTTTTCTCCCCTTTATTTCCTCTACTCTGCACCCCCTCTCCCACCATCATTCCCCCACCTTAGTTCATGCCCATGGGTAGTAAATATAAGTTCTTTGGCTTCTCCATTTCCTAGACTATTCTTAGCTTCCCCCCAGCTGTTTTCTACCTACCATTTATGCTTCTTATTCCCTGTACTCTTTCCCCCATTCTCTCACTTCTCCCCACTGCTGATAACCCTCCACGTGATCTCCATTTCTGTGATTCTGTTCCTGTTCTCATTGTTTGCTTAGCTTGTATTTGTTTCTGTTTTTAGGTTCAGTTGTTGAAAGTTGTGAGTTTGTTGTCATTTTACTGTTCATATTTTTTATCATCTTCTTTTTCTTAGCTAAGTCCCTTTAATATTTCATATACTAAGGGCTTGGTGATGATAAACTCCTTGAACCTGACCTTATCTGGGAAACACTTTATCTGCCCTTCCATTCAAAATGATAGCTTTGCTGGATAGAGCAATCTTAGATGTAGGTCCTTGCCTTTCATGACTTGGAATACTTCTTTCCAGCCCCTTCTTGCCTGCAAAGTTTCTTTTGAGAAATCAGCTGGTAGTCTTATGGGAAGTCCTTTGTAGGTAACTGTCTTCTTTTCTCTTGCTGCTTTTAAGATTCTCTCCTTACCTTTAATCTTGGGTAATGTAATTATGATTGGTCTTGCTGTGTGCTTCCTTGGGTCCAACTTCTTTGGGACTCTCTAAGCTTCCTAGACTTCCTGGAAGTCTATTTCCTTTGCCACTTTGGGGAAGTTCTCCTTCATTATTTGTTCAAATAAATTTTCAGCTTCTTCTTCTTCTTCTTGCACCCCTATAATTCTGATGTTAGAACATTTAAAGTGGTCCCAGAGGTTCCTAAGCCTCTTTTCATTTTTTTTTTTGAATTCTTGTTTCTTCATTCTGTTCCAATTAAATGTTTATTTATTCCTTCTGCTCCAAATCATTGATTTGAGTCCCTTTTTCTTCCCTTCACTATTGGTTCCCTGTATATTTCCCTCTATTTCACTTTGCATAGCCTTCACTTTTTCCTCTATTTTGCAACCATACTCAACCATTTCTGTGAGCCTCCTGGTTACTAGTGTTTTGAACTTGGCATTTAACAAATTGGCTATCTCTTCATTGCTTAGTTCCTTTTTTGGAATTTTGATCTGTTCTTTCACTTAGCCATATTTCTTTGTCTTGGCACACCCGTTATGTTATAAGAGGTAGAACCTAAGGTAGATCCACCAGGGAAAGGCGACCCATCTCTCTGTGTTGTGGTGCTGTATGTGGGAGAGGGGTCAGAGAGGGAACGGTACCGCTCGCCCAGCTCTCGGCTGGCGTTCAGGCATTTCCCCCAGCACCCACAAGCAAACTGGGCCCTTCTGGTGCTGATTCCTGGGAGGGTGGGCTTGTGTACGTTCTAGGAGCCTGTGGGTCTCTCATCTGAGTCTGGGAGTTTCTCCTGCTGCTGCAACCCCCACAGGTTTTTACAGTCAGAGGTTTTGAGGCTTTATTTCCCTGCTAGAACCCTAGGTTGAGTGGTCTGTCTCACTCCCCGGTTATTAGTCCCAGTTTATCTTCACGTGAATGTGGGACCACCAGCGGCTGCCTCGCCCACCTGGTCCTCCAGCTGCCGCCTTGCCACGCATCCTCTCCACCCCAGCTGCTTGTCTCCATCCCTCCTACCAGTCTGGATGAATGTTTCTTCTCCTCCAT